TGTTACCTGCATCCCACTGCTCCCTCCTCCCCAAACAAAAACCATTATTGTCTGGGCCCCTTGTTTGTCTTTATACTTATGTATTTTGTTTATTGTCCTTCTCAGACATTAGAATTAAGCTTCATAAGGGCAGATGTTTTTGTTTAGTTTGCTATATCCCTGGCACCTACAACAGTACCTGGCCCATCATCAGTATGCAGTAAGTTTTTGTTTAAGAATGGACAGGTGGAAGGGAGGAAGGGATGTCACTGTCACATTCGGGGACGGAGGACTAGGATTGGTGTTCCTATTGGGTATTCCCATGATTCACACTGTAGTATACACACTGTAGTATCATCTTAGCACAGTTCTCAAAAAGTCTACTTGCTCTTCCAAAAATGTAGACTTGATGTGGGAATGGTATAATTGTGGTGTCAGTCATACCCACAGTGGCAAAAAAAGACTATTTCTTAAATTTTAAGCATATTTTAAGATCCTGAATTTTTGATATACCTTATTCTAATTCGTTATGACCAATAATTTTGAGTTTGAAAGTGTAATTTCATAAATCTATTCTGCGATTCCTTTTAGTGGGTAAGTAAACACTGCATTGCCAGTTAAACAACTGCCTTTCAGAATTTAGTTGCATCTGTTATAGAATCAAAAATCATTATTTGTGCTGTTCACAAGGAACACAGGTACCTTACCGAGTGAGCTTAACATTAGATATTGCCTGAGACTGGTGATTTCTGGCTGGAAGAAAGCTAAGTCATACCCTGGGGTGAGATGTGGCAGATTAAGACCAAGGCAGAGAGAAGGGAGATGGAGGCAGGGGAAGGAAGTCGAGGATGAGCGGTGGGTGGGAGGAGACGTGAGGAGGTGAAGAGAATGGCAGCACTGCTGGGAGTTTAACGTACCCCTACATTAGGCATCAGGGGGATGTCTTAGGCACGTCAGCTTCCCTACAGAGATGCAGCCTCCCCAGGAGTTGCCTCTTCCTTTTGTATCTACATTTCCAGCACTGGGTGTTTTGTTTTGTTTGTTTAGTTGTTTTGTTTTGTTTCTCCTCTTTTCCACAAGCACAAGAGCAGATCTGTCTTAATTAACTTTCCGGTTCTCACTTGATTACTTGTACAAGGACAGTAGATGTGGGAGGGTCAGAGGAGATGCTATTACATAAAAGCTATGATTTTGGTAGGAAATGCCAGTAGCTTAAGATAATTAATAAGATTGCCGATATTACATTTAATTTTGTAATTAGGTATTTTTAATATAGGGAAGTATATAAAATAGAAATAGCACATTTTAAGTTAGATATATATTAGGAAACAGGTTACATTCAGCATAAAAGTAATTTTTATATAACTAGAGCAAAAAAAAAAAAAAGAAAGAAAAGAAAACCCAAAAGAATACTATGGCTTTTAAATTAAGCAGAAATATGAATTAATGCTAAAACTGGGGAAAACATACTTGATATGTGCTTCCAAAAAAAGACCTCTCTCCATTAAAGCAATGTAAAAAGGAGAGCAGTGTCTCAAAAGAGAATGAATTCTAATTAAGCCACAGCATAATTCTAAAAGTTAAATGTGCAATTAAAGTTGTTCCTGGCTTATGTACATATTTTCCTCTCAGATGATCTCAGCATGTGGAGAGGATACATTTTTATGAAAATGAGACAGTCTCCATTTCTTTCGTTTTATTAACATTTAAAAATTATTTTTCTTTAACAATAATATAAACACAGATGACTATTACAAAAAAATCAACCTTTATACATTTACAGTACTAACTTCTACTTATATTCTAGTGTATAATAAATGTCATTTGAGAGCACCCATTTGGTTCATTTGAAATATTTTTGTCC